AGTGCCTTGGGTGCAATCCAGAGGTGAAGCAGCCCTCTTGATGAAAAAGAAAGAGGGGAGTTGTTAGTTTTAACCTGTTGGGGATTTTAATTGGATTATTTTAGTGCTAATTTTTATTGTTCTGTTGTTTTATTGTTGGGAGCCGCCCCGAGTCCTTCAGGAGAAGAGCGGCATATAAGTATGAATAAAGTGGGAAATCCCATTTTTACTTAACATTTTAACCTCAAGGAAAAGATACAGGCAGACTTAAGTTTCATAAACTGGATTTATACTTCCACCTGCTGGTGAAGGGAATCATTACACCTCCTCTCTTTTACCAACAAAAAATATTCCTTGGTGGATTTTTTAAAATAATTTTATTAACAATTGATAAATCAAGTACATTTCCCCCAAAATAATACATACGGGGAGAGCCAATGTCTGTATACTTTTAAATCCATTGTATTTGTAGTTAGAATGAAATTCACACCAAATTCTCAGCTGAAGTTATGGATTAAGATTTTTTTTTAATTGCCTATTTTTTTCTGTCTATTGCTGTTTTAATCCCTACTGGTCCATGTTCGCCTGTATCATCACTTCAATGGGGACATTTAAATTTCGAGACACTCTGATAACATTTATTTGCATTATCTGTTAACCAAGATGAATTTATTTCTCTAAAAGTAGCAAATTCTGCTACATTATAAGTATGTGTAAACTTCATCCACAAATAGTTGCCTATGGTTATTCTTGTTAGGGGATAAGTTTGCTTTGTCTGTTCTATTGAATGGATTTTTATTGGTCAAGCAATTTAACCAATAAACCAATGGCTGAAATAATAGTTTAATATAGAGTTTTGGATTTTCATTTTCTTCTACTGTATAATTTTTTATAAAATTTATAAAATAGGATATTTATTTTATTTTTATATTTTTTATATTTATTTATTTTTATATGCCGCCCTTCTCCGGAGACTCAGGGTGGTTTACAATGCGTTAAGCAATAGCCTTCATACTTTTGTATATTTTATACAAGTCAGTTTATTGCCCCCACAAACCGGGTCCTCATTTTACCCACCTTAGAAAGGATGGAAGGCTGAGTCGACCTTGAGCCTGGTGAGATTCGAACTTACAGTAATTGTAGACAGCTGGATGTTAAATGCTGCCTTAGTAGGAGGCACTAGCCTCCTACGCCACTCAGGCTCTCCACTCAGGATATATTATATATAAGTGTTTGTCTATTGAAGCACCTGGTCTACCCCAATATGGAAGGAAGCCTACTGCTTCCCTTTCGCCTTTCAGCTCCAATCCAGGAGCCCTCAAGCAGTTGCATTCACGACAAACCATTTTATACCAAATTTATATTTTGCTGATAAAGAAATAAAGGGAGACTAGTATAGATCTATTTCAAGCTATTTAGCTCTCATCAGCTAGCCAGATTGGAGCTGAAAGGCGAAAGGGAAGCAGTATGCTCCTTCCCATATTGGGGTAGACCAAATGGTTTGATAGAAAAACACTTAATCTCTCCCCTGGCTCAAGTTGATAAAGGGAGGAGAACTTTTGGCTCAGAGATTAATACAACTGCCTAATATGCAGGCAGCCCAAGTTCGAATCCGAGTAAGGATATGGCTAGCTGATGAGAGCTAAATAGCTTGAAATAGATCTATACTAGTCTCCCTTTATTTCTTTATCAGCAAATATAAATTTTATATGGGTTTTCTATTGAAGCAACCTGGTCTACCCAAATATGGGAAGGAGCATACTGCTTCCTTTCGCCTTTCAGCCCCAGTCCAGGAGCCCTCAGGCAGTCACTTTCACCACAAACTATTTTGTGTTAAATTTATATTTATTGACAAAGCTATTTAGCTCTCATCAGCTTGCCATACCCTTCTGGGATTTGAACCTGGGCTTGCCTGCATGTTAGGCAGATGTATTAACCTCTAAGCCATAGAATATGTAATAGAATAATACTATACTAAAAATTAAATTAAATTTTACAAAGATTAAATTGTTTTAAGATGAGCATGAAAAGCAAAAACTTCATTATATAGTATTCATTTTAGATTCAGATAGTGGAGGGATTCAAGTAATTTAACAACTGGTTCTCTGCCCTAATTATTTTTTCAACAACTTTTCTTTCTTTCTTTTATTAGATTTATATACCGCCTTACTCCCGAAGGACTCAGGGCGGTCAACAGGCACAAAATAAAATACATAAATACAAAAGTTAAGAACATAATTAAAACCAGATTAAATAATTTAGCCCGAGACAATTAAAAATCCCAATAATTTAAAACAGATTAAAATTTGATTTAAAAGAATTTTAAAACAGGGGAGAAGATTAGGCCAGGCAGAAAGTTAACAACCGGTTCTCCCGAAGTGGTGCGAACTGGCTGAATCCCACCACTGGATTCAGAGTGGAAATGACTACCATATTTTTCAGAGTATAAAACACACCAGATTATAAAATGCACCTACCTTTTTTGGTGAGGAAAAGAAGAAAAAGAAATCTCCCTCTGCCTCTGCTTCCCAGCAATTTTGGCTCGTTGCAGCAAACAGTAAACAGCCTACTTTACTTTCGTTTTCGTTTTCAGCATAGCTCGATTAGCAAAAGGAAAAAAAAAATCTGGTCCAGCAATTTTCTTCCTTGCAAGCAAGCAGCAGAGCCCTGTGCAAAACAGCTGAGAGCAAATCAACTGAGAGTCAGGAGATCGATCCAATCAACTTGTGCTAATAGGCTGTGCTGAAGCTGAAAGGAGCTGTTTTTTCTTGCTGTTTGCTTGCAAGGAGGTAACTGCTGCGAGGCAGAGGCCAAAGGGTGGGGGCCAGTGGGTGGGTGGGGTTACATTCGGTGTATTTGACACACCTAAATTTTCACCCCCTTTTAGGGGGGAAAAAGGTGCATCTTATACTCTGAAAAATACAGTAATTAAAACAGCATTGGAAAACAAGTAACATATGAACAAATACAGGACAGAATTGGCTGGGGTTATTTTTTATTTCTTTTTTTGTATGTACCATACTTGACACAATTAGTAATAAATAACAAGGATGGAAATGAGCTAGACACTCTGGCGTTTTTATGCAGAGAGCTCAAAAAGATCAAGATGGTGTCCACAGCTGTATAATTGAGGTGCCTTTCCCTTTTTTTTACATGCATTACAGAGACAACGCATGCAATGTGTTTGGCCTTCAGTCACAGGGCTGTAGCTGTCATCTAGAGCTGCAGTCACCAACTGGTGGTCCATGGACCACTGGTGGTCTGTGAGAAAATTTTGGTGGACTGCAGAAAAATTATTTGCATTTTTATATTGCACTAAATCAGGGGTCCTCAAACTACGGCCCCTGGGCTGCATACATGCAATGAACGTTTGTGTTGCTGCAGAGAGTCTCCCCCTTCAGGGTCTTTTTGTGTGGGTTGGAGGGGGGCAGAAATTCCAACTTAGGGTCTGCTTCAGCCTCCTGGTGTGGGGCTTTGGGTGAAGGCTGGAGGGACGTGCCACTGGTGGCAAAGAGCTGCAGGACCTTGTTCCAGTGTGTTGTGGCTCCAACCCCCGAGCCCATTTTATCAGAGGGAGAAGGCTCTGAACATGAAGGAGAGGAGCCGGCCAGGCCTCCCTCTCCAGGCCCCTCCTCTCTGGCTATGCCTCAGGTGTCTGCCGAGGGAGAGGAGATTGGCCAGGAGCCAGGTGTCTCCGATGACAGCGATGACGGTGATACGTCGTTCCTGGATCCACGCCAACGAAGGCGAGATAAACGTTTGCAGCAGATGAGGAGGCGTGCCAGGGATTAAGCTGAGTCACTGGACCACACCCCACAGGCTATATAAGAGAGTGTGGTGGCCATTTAGACTCTGTGACAGACAAAGCTAACTTCTGGCTAGTCACTTTGTACAACGCCTGAATCTGCTGAAGGTTTCTGTTTGAGCTGGACTGTTTTTGAAAACTGTGTGTATTTGTTGGTGTTTATCTGGTGGAGGAAAACTCCCTCTTCTTGAAGTAAAGCACTTGGCAGACGGTTATCGTATTGCTGCCAAGTTCCTGATAACGAACCTTGTGTGTGCCAAGTAATTCTTTAACCCCCGGCTGGCTGTTTGTGTGTGTGGGGGGGGGGACGGGGATAGAACACAGTGGGATTGCAGCATGGCCTGGAACTGGCTGACCATCTCAGCCCGCTGAGCCTCCAGGTTCCTGTACCTGGCCTTGCACTCCCACAGATCTTCCCTCTGCTTGGAAAGCCTATGCTTGTAGTCCTCAGTGAGGTGCTTCTGCTGAGCCTCCTTCTCGGTCAGATCCAATTTGAACTGAGCCAGCTGTTTTGCCAACTCTTTCTCATGGTGGCTGCTTAGCTCCAAAAACTGCTTCCTGTTGGGGCCCTAAGGAGCCTGGATGGGCAGGCGAGGAGTGGCTGGGAGGGGAGGGGCAAGTAGAGGCCCTCGAGGCACCCCTCGATTTGAGTGATATCGAGTTGGCCACACCGACCCAGTCACATGACCACCTAGCCATGACCACCCAGCTGGTCATTAGGCAGATCATATTAGTGGTCCGCGGGATTTAAAATTATGAATTTAGTGGTCCCTGAGGTCCGAAAGTTTGGTGACCCCTGATCTAGAGTTTCCAGCTTTCACTGGCAGAGCGTTGCAGGAGGCCGTCACAGGAGTTAGGGAGCCTGTTTTCACTGAGAGAGCACTTGGGCCATCACAGGTGCTCCTGTCACCAGTGACATTGAGCTGGCCACGCCCACCCTGGTCCCCCAAGGTCAAACACAATCCTAATGTGGCCCTCAATGAAATTGAGTTTGACACTCCTGCCCTACACTAAAGTTCAAAGCTGTGAATACTCTTTCTACCCTGCTTTTTAAAAAGTCCCACTTTCTTTTCCACAGAATATCCTAGGGAATACCACGGCTTGCATTGTTCTGATCTTCGTAGGTAACGAAAAACCACAACATCTGAATATCTTTTCCAAATCCTTCCATCTGGGTTCAGTTCCAAGTGGGGAGAAAGACGCTGGAAGCATGGAGGCTGATTGGAAAGATGGTTTATTGATGGATTTGAAGTCCTGGGCAGCTGAACACATGGAGTGGAGAGTGAGGGTTATTTAAACCCTCTCTTGGGCCTTGCCCTTGAGCTTCCTGTTCCTGTGGCAAGAGCATGTATTCTATTGGTTGCTGTCAGACTCCCATATGGAGTCAAATTTGTCTGAATCAACTTTGGTGGAACCTTGGGCTGATGTAATGTCCCCAGGTGATTTTGCAATGCAGTGAGCCCTGCTGTTAGATGGGTAGAGGGCTAATCCTATTATGTCCTGAGGGGTCATGTCTTAATCCCATCACCCTGGAGCTGGAGGACTTTTGTCTTGTAGATAGGCTGGCCCAGTCTTAATGTGAACCAAATATCTGCTGGGGGCAGGGAGCTGCAGAGAGCTGCTCTTTGTCTTTAAAAACACGTTTCTCCTTTTCTCATCCAGGGAAATATAATATTCTGCCTTTTTAATATTTCCTAGAATATTTCGTTCTTCTAGGAGAGGGGCAGGTGCTAACTTTCTACACTATCCATCACTTCAGTATCTTGTTAATTCTAAGGCTGGTTGTTTTGCTTATTGTCATGAGTTTGGTCTTCTTTATATTTAATATTATTCCCATTTTTACTCTGCTCCATGTGTTTTACTACATTAAAAGGAAGCATTTCTTCCCTCCCAGTCTCAGTAGAAGGTTTTGCTGATTGAATCGTTCCAAATGAAAGCATAGATGCTGCAGAATTCCTATATTTGCAGAGTTATTCAGTCCCCTTTTGCCATAGTGTTATCTCTCTTCTTTTCATCGTTTAATTTGATGTCCAAGGCTCGGAGCTGGCTGAGGAATCCGGTGTTTGGACAGATGCCTCTGTGAGAGTCCACTGATTTCAAGGCTTCCACAAGTGTCAGGTTTTCGTGGATCATCAAGTACGCCAACACTAACGTGGCCGAACGGCTTAGCCCCATAGCACAATGGACAAAGACCTTGCCTGGAAAAACATAACAAAAGCAACTTCAGCAGTGGTGGGATTCATATAATTTAGCAACCGGTTCTCTGCCCTAATGACTGGCTGGGTGGGCGTGGCCATGTTGGGTGTGGCCACGGAGTGTGACAGGCAGCACTCGGCCTCCTGCACACACCTGGGAGCAAAAACAGGGCATTTTCTTCTTCTTAAGATGTACGATGTTCTGAATAGCGCAGTTTTTTGCAGTTCCACTGGTGTTATTGCAGGAAGCTTGATGTGTTTTGTAAAATTCTTGGACATGGTGCCAAGTGCTCCAATGATGATGATGATGATGATGATGATGATGATGATGATGATGATGATGATGATAATAATAATAATAATAATAATAATAATAATAATAATAATAATGTATGGTTCATTGACATTGCAATACCTGGTGATGCACGGATTGAAGATAAGCAGCAAGAAAAATCACAAAGTACCGGGACTTGCAAATTGAAGTTGAGCGACTGTGGAAAAAGAGAAATTGTGTGGGGTTTTTTTGTTTTTTTTAAATTTGATTTATATGCCGCCCTTCTCCGAAGACTCAGGCGGCTTACAATGTGCTCAGAGCAACAGCAGTGTGTTGTCCCGATTGTAATTGGAGCCCTTGAGCAATACCCAAAGGGCTACCCCGCTATTTAGAAATTCTAAATTTGCCGGACTTGAACATTTTGACTCTACAAAAAACCACCTTACTCAGAACAGCTTACATCCTCCGACGATACCTTGACGATACCTTAACAGTTCCTAGGTCCTTGGTTAGGACTTGAGCTGCTGAGCTATTAACCAGCCTCAAAGGCTGTGAAACTCACTAAAGATTAAATAATAATAATAATAATAATAATAATAATAATAATAATGTCCTTAACAAACCAACCAAGTACCTTAAGAACCTCCAACCAAGTACCTTAAGAAGGTATTTGGTTGATACCTACGATGCTGGTAGCAACCCGTATCAACCATTAGCACCAGTCAATGGTATTTGTGATGCATTTTTGAATGTTCAGTTTATTTATTTTTATTTATTTATTTATTTGATCAAATTTGTATACCGCCCTACTCCCGAAGGACTCAGGGCAGTGAACAGGCACAAAATAAAACACATAGATACAAAAGTTAAGAGCAAAATTAAAACCAAATTAAATATTTGAGCCCAAGACAATTTAAAACATCCCAAAAATTTAGAACAGATTTAAAATTTCAATTTAAATTTAAAAATTAAAAATTAAAAGTGGGGAAAGATCAGGCCAGGCTGGCTTGCTGAAATAGAAAAGTCTTTAGAGTGCGGCGGAAAGTGCGCAGGTCCGGAATCCTACATATCTCCGGGGGGAGCTCATTCCAGATAGTAGGTGCCCCCACAGAGAAGGCCCTCCCCCTGGGGGCCGACAGTCAACACTGTTTGGCCGACAGCACCCGGAGGAGCCCCTCTCTATGAGAGCGTACCGGCCGGTGGGAGGTTGATTGTGGTAGTAGGCAGTCCCGTAAATAGCCAGGTCCTAAGCCATGGAGCGCTCTAAAGGTGGTAACCAAAACCTTGAAGCGCACCCGGAAGACCACCGGGAGCCAGTGCAGCTCACGCAGGAGAGGTGTTACGTGGGAGCGCCATGTCGCTCCCATAACTACCCGCGCGGCCGCACTCTGCGCCAGTTGGAGCCTCCGGGTGCTCCTCAAGGGGAGCCCCATGTAGAGAGCGTTGCAATAGTCCAGGCGGGAAGTGATGAGGGCATGAGTGACTGTGTGTAAAGAGTCCCGATCCAGAAAGGGACGCAACTGGCGAATTAGGCGAACCTAACGGAAAACCCTCCTGGTCACGGCCGTCAAATGCTCTTCTAAAGACAGCCGTGAATCCAGGAGGACGCCCAAGTTGCGAGCCCTCTCCGTCTTCAGTTGACTGAATTTCATATTTAATGAATAAAGATAATAAAAACATGTAACAGTGATACCCACTGTCATCGGGGCACTTGGTACCATGTCCAAGAATTTTATAAGGTACATCAACAAATTGCAGCTTCCTGCAATAACACCAGCAGAACTGTAAAAAACTGCGCTATTCGGAACATCATACATCTTAAGAAAGTACTTGGTTGATACCTAAGACGCTGGCAGCAACCCGTATCAGCCATTAGCACCAGTCAATGGTATTTGTGATGCATTTTTGAATGTTCAGTTGACTGAGTTTCATGTTTAATGAATAAAAGAGATAATGATGATGATGATGATAGATTTAATCTTCAATTCGATTCACAATATGTGACTAGTAAAAACTTAACAGTTCAAGTCCTAGCCAAGGACCTAAAAGGTGTTAAGATAGCGTCTGAGTATATAAGCAGTTCCGAGTAGGGTGGTTTTTTTTTTGCAAAGTCAGGATATTCAGGTCTAATAAGTTCAAAATTTCCATCTATCTAAGCAGCCTTTTGGGTATTGCTCAAAGACCTCGGTTACTATAGGTACAACCATTGATTTCTTCCTCCACAATCGCTCAACTTCAACTTACAGATTGCGATATTTTGTTATTTTTTCTAGTTGTTTCTCTTCAATTCGTGCATCACCAGCTGGTATTATTATTATTATTATTATTATTATTATTATTATTATTATTATTATTATTATTATTATTATCTCTTTTATTCATTAAGCATGAAACTCAGTCAACTGAATATTTAAAAATTATTATTTTTATTATTACTACTACAACTATTCAAAGCACTGTTGAAGAGGCTCTTGGGAAGATTTGGAAAATCATTTTGAACCAATTCTGCATTGCTCCCAAGAGTTAGCATGGTTGTATCCATGAAGTTCTGAGAAGTTGAACTCAACTTTAGATCATGTTGCTTTTCCAAGCTTCCAAGACAACTTCTTTTTCTTATTTACGTGGTGTAGAAAAATCCCAGCTCTAAGCATGAAGAATTAAACAAATCTCCTTTCACTTTATAACCAGTGGTGGGATTCAAATAATTTAATAACCAGTTCTCTGCCCTAATGACCAGCTGGGTGGGTGTGGCCATGGTGGGCATGGCCAGGGGGTCTGACAGGCATCACTGGGCCTCCTGCACCCCCCTGGGAGCAAAAATGGGCCATGGGGTGACGTGCCGCACCCCCCGCACCTCCCGCGCCTCCGCACCCCGTTTTGGGCCTAGTAGGCCTCCCTGCACCCCCTGGGAGCAAAAACAGGCTGGGGGAGCGCCACACCCCCATGCCCCGTTTTGGGCCTAGGAGACCTCCCTGAAGCCTCCTGGGAGCAAAAACAGCCCTAGGAGGCCTCCCTGAGGCCTCCTGGCAAGCGAAAACGGGCTGCGGGGGGCCACGCTGTCCTCTTCCACACCCCATTTTGGGCCTAGGAGGCTTCCCTGCACTTACCTGGGAGCCAAAATGGAGCGTGTGGGGATTCCTGGAAGGGGTGGGCGGGAGGGGGCGGGGCTAGCCAGCAGTTTAACTACCGGTTCACCCAAACAGGCCCAAACCGGCTGAATCCCACCACTGTTTATAACCATTGGTAATTATGAGCCAGAAGACTATCCAGAGAAGCTTTCCTGAACCAAAATAAGCACTGAAAGCAGAGCCTTTTTTTTGGATGCCATTCTTCATATTTTTTAAAAAATCTACTCTTACCTCCTGCAGTATTTAAGGCCTTGTGTATGAAATCGGCAGCTTCGTGGAAGAAGACGCTTATGTCAAACGAATTGTCATCAAAAGCTTGCACTCCGTAGTACTGAATCGGCAGGTCTCGGTAATAACGTGCTCCAGTGTTGATGTTGTAGGGCCCATCAGCTGCATTAAGGATATGAGTGATGCCAATGCTCTGAAGAATGGATTTACTTCTTGCTGCCCATCTGTCAAAAGACAATCAAGGCTTGTCAAAAGACAATCAAAAAAAGAGAAAAACTGGAGAGCTATCTTTGCCCCCATTACATTGGCCCACTCCACCTGGTCAGGCAGGGAGGATATGCTGTGGAAGCCATCAATTAAAGAACTTTGACTGGCAGGATTCAGGAAGAGAGCCTTCTCTATCAATTGCTTCCATCCTTTGGAACAGTCTCCTTCCCCTGCCCCCCCCCGCCAGGGATGAGGTTTCCCCCACATTCTCTTGGCCTTTCGCAAACATCCGAAGACCTTGCTCTGCCGACTCATTTGGGGCTCACAGAAAAACATGGTGCCACGGGTTTAGTTATTCTGAATGTTAAAAGTTACTTTACCTTGTATTCAGAGATTCATACAGGTTTTTATGTCTGAGAGCCGCGGTGGTGCAGTAGTTAGTATGCAGTACTGCAAATTACTTCTGCTGCCTGCCTGCCTGCAATTTGGCAATATGAATCTCACCAGGCTCAAGGTTGACTCAGCCTTCCATTCAGAGGTGGTATTCAGCTGGTTCGGACCGGTTCAGGCAAAACGGTAGCAGAAATCGCAGGTGGGCCAATCCACCCCCCCCCCGGCTCTATGCTGTCCTGTTTAGGCACATTTTTGAGGCTGGGTGCATGCACGGAAGGTGCACGCATGAGCAAAGACCATTGTTGTGACCCAGGCCCAAGTAGTTAGTATTAAATGCAAACAGTTCGAAAACAAACAGACTTTATTAGAACATCTGAGAATTAAGTCATTCTCAGCATAGTCCAAACTAAATTAAAACAAACTCTCCATAACACAAATTCTTCAGACTAATTACCAACCTTGGTATAATTAGGCAAACTGCCAAAGGCTTCTCTTGGCAAAAGTTCAAAAGCAGAAGACACTGACCAGAGATAAGTGCAGCAAGACTATCAACGTTGTTTTCCGACAAAGAGACCAAGAGCCATTGCTGGTCTTTTAAGCCTTATGGGAGGGGCCAATCATCTCTTGGCTCTACTCCCGAGTCGTCCTCTTTGCTTTAGCTGCTCTTGCCTTCTGGCAGCTCTTCTTATACGTGCACTAGGAACAGGCTCCTCCTGTTCCTCTGCCTCTCTACTGTCAGCCTCTGGAGGCTCCAGAGTCCGCACATCACGCCCTGATGGCCCTGGCCCCTCTCTGCCTCTGACGCAGAGCCCTCATTCAGGCCTTCCCCAGCCTCCAGGACTGGCCCATGTTCTTCCTCAGCCTCATCGCTGTCCGACTCCGCTGCCAGGCTGCTAGTGGACCACAACACGCATGCGCAGAAGGCCAGGCGCATGCACACACTCACATTTTTGGTGCTGGGCGAACCGGTAGGTAAATTATGTGAATCCCACCTCTGCTTCCATCCTTCCGAAGTTGGTAAAATGAAGACCCAGATTGTTGGGGGCAAGACGCTGACTCTGTAAACCGCTTAGAGAGGCCTGTGAAGCAGTATATAAGTCTACGTGCTATTGCTATTGCTATTATTTGGACACCAGAGTCACTTTGTGAGGGAGGTGGCTTTTAAGTCTAATATATAAATATAAAATAAATAAATCACTTCTTGGTCACCGTTGAATATCATGCCGAAGCCCACAGAGGCTCCTATCAACTGAATTTCAGCTACTTGCAACCCACTCCGTCCAGAAGTAATAGATCCATTGCCTCCCATTTGGTCGCCTCCTTCCTAGTTAGCTATTGAAGCGAAAAAGAAACAAGCAGAATTTGTTTTTCTTCCTCTTAATGCTGGGCCTCCAGGAATTCTCCTAGCTTGTTCAGAGGCTGTGATGTTTGTAAGCCCCGGGCAACTCTCTTGATCAAAGTGAAAAATGTTCAGCTTTGATCACGAAATATGGGTTGATTGACAGTGTTCCCTTCACTAGGCCCTGGGCCTGGAATTCTCCTCCATCGCTGGTTCACAGACCAGATGTTCTAGACATCATCGCTAGCGGTTTGATTGGAATGGTTTGACAAGAGTCATGACGGCTCTGATTTTTAATTATCCTCAAGTGAACGTCTGTCTAATGATCCTTCAGTATGGATGATGAAAACAATTATCAGGGTATGCAGAATGCTGGAGCCTGGTAATGTGTTTTCAGACTAACAAACATAATTAAATGGAGAAGCTTTCAGGAGCTCACAAGAACTTACCTCTACGCAGGGGTGAAATTTACTTACCTTCCCTACCGGTTTGCCAATGTGTGCGCACCACGTGTGCACTTGCTCCGCTCGTGCACGCCATTGTCTGCACATGCGCAAAGTCTTCTGTGCATGCGCAGAGACTTAAAATGTCGCAAAAAAGCGATGTCATGACGTCTGTGCAGGTGGGCGGAGCCTCCCGCAGCCGCCGCTACCAGTTCGCCCGGGCCGGATAGAACCAGCTGGATTTCACCCCTGCCTCTATGCATTTATTAAAATGTGCTAGTGAGAAAATGTACTACCAGCAGTGGTGGGATTCAGCCAGTTCGCACCACTTTGGGAGAACCGGTTGTTAACTTTCTGAGCAGTTTGGCAAACTGGTTGTTGGAAGAAATCATTAGGGCAGAGAACTAGTTGTTAAATTACTTGAATCCCACCACTGACTACCAGGCGTCCTCTGATTTTTGGCCATCAAATATTAACACACTTCCCTACAATATGTGGTTCTTTACACTCCACGCATGCCAGGTCTATGCCGCTTCATTGCACATAGATGGCGACTCAGCCATTCATTTATTTTCCATGGAATTGAAGACTAACAAGATTTTGCTGGAAAAAAATGAATTTGGGAATCCTGCAAGCAACTAACCATGTCCTCTTTCTTTCTTTCTTTCTTTCTTTCTTTCTTTCTTTCTTTCTTTCTTTCTTTCTTTCTTTCTTTCTTTCTTTCTTTCTTTCTTTCTTTCTCTTTCCTTCCTTCCTTCCTTCCTTCCTTCCTTCTTTTTTTAAAAAAAAAACTCTATCTCTGCATTACATCTTACATCAGTGTCTCTCAACCTTGGACACCCAGAATTTTGGGAGTTGAAATCCACACAGGTCCAAGTGGCCAAGGTAATTTTAAAAAGGTGAAAAATAACATGCTGATGGTGACGACATCATCCATTCAGTCATGTCCGACTCTTGGCAATTCTCTGGTCCAGGTCACTCCACATCTTCTGACCTTCCACTGCTTCTCTGTGTTGTTCTATGTTCTGGCTGGGGTCAGCTTTAATGGTGAATAAGATACCCAAGACTAATAAAAATCACCCTCCTTTGACTATTTCACAGAAAGTTTCACAATCCCTAGCTATTAGAAACACAAAATGAGTAGCGTTCCTTGGTCTTTTTAATTAACCAAGTTGGTCACATTGGGGTGGTTTATAAATGTTGCTAAATAAATAAGGGAATAAATAAATCAAAATTGAGTGGGCAAAACTGCTCACTCCATTTCATTTTATTGGGCTCCCTACGTTGGATCGTTTCCAACAACAATGGATCTCCTCCAGTGGTGGGATTCATCCGGTTTGGGCTGGTTTGGGCAAACCAATAGTTAAATTGCTGGCTGGCTCTGCCCCTCCACTCCCCTCCCCGCCCCTCCCTTTCCAGGAGTCCCCACGTGCCCCATTTTGGCTCTCAGGTAAGTGCAGGGAGGCCTCCTAGGCCCAAAGCGAGGCGTGGGGGGGTGGCGCATCCCCCTCTCGGCCTGTTTTTGCTCCCAGGGGTGTGCAGGAGGCCGAGTGCTGCCTGTCACAGCACTTGGCCCACCATGTGACCCACCATGGCCACGCCCACCCAGCCGGTCATTAGGGCAGAGAACTGATTGTTAAATTATTTGAATCCCACCACTGGTCTCCTCCCTTCCCAGGAGTCTCAGTGGTAAGAATGGGTTGACTTCCCATCTCCCTCTCAGAAGGGTAGATAAATTATGGCAGAAATCTTCAGAGGGATGTCTAAGGTTAATGGTCCCAAAAGGTTGAGATGTGATGTACAGAAAAACCAGAGCCTTGATTGTGTTGTCCCCACCACCATCTTGGCTTTTTATAATTGTGCCTTGTGGACTCTCCTATTGGAGGAGAAAATGTATCAGTGAGCCCTGTTGACTCTCTGGAGGTGAAGGCACTTTTGGGACCCTTTTGAAAAAGAGAGTGATCAGTAGATAATGCTTCTAAGCAACCATCCTACTTACGCATCTCCAAGGTAGAGGTTTGGCCACACTTGGTCCACATGATTGTCAGACCCTCCTCTGGCCCATACCAGTCTCTGCAGTTCAGACAATGCTGGGGTCTCATAACGGTTTTTCCTCTCTGGACTGGGATTGTGGGAAGAACAAGTGCTTAGATTGGTCATGGCTGCTCTATACTTCTGTTCAAACGATGATTCCCCGCTGACCTTCCTGGAAACAAAGAGTTAGGTTTTCCATTAATTATGATATTTTGCATATAACTAGTGTTCTAAACATGGCAAAGATACTGGAGTGGGTTGCCATTTCCTTCTCCAGTGGATCATGTTTTGTCAGAGCTTTCTGCTATGACCTGCCCGTCTTGGGTGGCCCTGCATGGCATAGCTCATAGCTTCATTGCACTGCGCAAGCCCCTTCACCACGACAAGGCAGTGATCCATGAAACGGATAGTCAAGGCTAGGGTTTTCCCAGTTGCAATGTATGGCTGTGAAAGTTGGACCATAAGGAAGGCTGAGCGCCAAAGAATCGAGGCCTTTGAACTATGGTGCTGGAGAAGACTCCTACGAGTCCCTTGGACTGCAAGGTGATCAAACCAGTCAGTCCTAGAGGAGATCATCCCTGACTGCTCTTTAGAAGGCCAGGTCCTGAAGATGAAACTCAAATACTTTGGCCACCTAATGAGAAGGAAGGACTCACCAGAGAAGAGCCTAATGCTGGGAAAGACCGAGGGTAAAAGAAGAAATGGACGACAGAGAATGAAGTGGCTGGATGGAGTCACTGAAGCAGTCGGCGTGATCTTAAATGGACTCTAGGGGATGGTAGAGGACAGGAAAGCCTGGAGGAACGTTGTCCATGGGGTTACGATAGGTTGGACACAACTTTGCAACTAACAACAATTAACAACAACAACAACAGTGTTCTAAATTGCTCTTTTCTCCTCCTCCATGGCTTCTTTGTTGGCCATTGAGGAAAAAGTGTCTCCTTCTTCCAGTTCAGCATGGAAACATGAAGCAGAACAAGATAGCTGAGAATAAAGGGTTGATGAATGATTGGGGACTGAATACAAAGTGAGTGACCAGGATAGAAAGACTTCAAGGAGATTTGAGAGAGAATGAATAAGGATCAAACCAGGAGTGGTTCTCCCAGTTCACAATGGGATTGCGTGTGTGCATGTGCGCTTCTGCGCATGCGCAGATCACCCATGATGATGTCGGGGCAGGTGGGCGGAGCCTCCCGCCAGTTTTACTACCAATTCTAAAGAACCGGACAGAACCGGGAGGAACCCACCACTGGATCAAACCAGAAAATATGAAGAAAAAGATAAACGGAGAAAGACCAAGACAATTGTGATTGGACTGAATTGATGAGATTTTCAAAGACAGAGAGATGAGAAGCTTATAGGACACAAAAACAGTACAATAGCAATAGCACTTAGACTTATATATCACTTCGCAGTGCTTTACAGCCCTCTCTAAGCAGTTTACAGAGTCAGCCTATTGCCCCCAACAATCTGGGTCCTCATTTTACCCACCTGGGAAGGATGGAAGGCTGAATCAACCTTGAGCCTGGGGAGATTTGAATGCCAAATTGCAGGCAATCGGCAGGCAGCAGAAATAGCCTGCAATACTGCACTCAACCACTGCGCCACCACAGCTCAACAGTGCAGGTAGCTGTTTATGGATATGGTGGAAGCAGGACTGTTTGCAAAGGCAGAAAGATATGGAGAGTGAGCTGTGTTGACATAAACTACTTTTAGTTAGACACACACACACCTTTTTTTTTCTTTCCTCAAATCTCTTGTTTTAAAATTCTTTGGCTTATGATTTTGTCCTCCTGTTTCTACATACGTTTGAAGAAAGTTAGCACCTACCCCTCTCCTAGAAGAATGAAATATTTTGAGAAATATTAAAAAGGCAGAATATTGTATTTTCCTAAATGAGAAATGATGAAACATGTTTTTTTAGAGACAGAAAGCCAACTCAGTCTCTCTGTCCCCCAGCAGATATTTTGTGCCCATTAAGAAAGACTGGGCCAGCCTATCTACAAAACAAAAGACCTTAAGCTCCAGGGTGATGGGATTAAGAACAGGACATGATCCTCAGGACATAATAGGATTAACCCACTACCATTTAGAAGAAGACACAGAGTTCACTACATTGCACAATCTTCTAAGGGTATTTCACTCATTGCATCACCCTCAGAAACTTCAACCGAACTTAGCTCAGACACCTAGGATTTGTACTTTGCCTATAGAGCCAGCGATGACCCCTACATAACCCCTACAGGGACCCTACATGGAGTCTGACAACAGCCAATAGAATACATGCTCTTGAACAGGAACAGGAAGCTCTCCAGTGCAAAGCTCAAGAGTAGGTATAAAACCCCACCCCCATTTCAACTCCATCTGGTCAGCTGCCCAGAACCACAAACCCATGTGGTTCTGCTTCATCATTAAACCATCTTTCCAATTAGCCTCCTTGTTTCCAGTGTCTTTTTCCCAGTTTGGAACTGAACCAGATGGATATTTCTTCCAACACGCTGGAGGTGGTTGATGGACGAATAGCAGATCCCACCCAGGGGTGGGTTCTAAATTTTTTTACTACCGGTTCTGTGGGCATGGCTTATTTTGTGGGCGTGGCTTGATGATCATGTGAAAATTCTTTAGGAGAGGTACTGGTCTACCAGGCTTTTAACTACTTGCAGAGCTGTACCAGTCTACCCATTTATTTTTGGAGGCACCAGTCTACCCATTTATTTTTAGAGGCACTGGTCTACTCATTTGTTTTTGGAGGCACCGGTCTACCACCACACTGCCTTTTAAGCCCTGCAGCAAGAGTTTAAACAGGTTTTTTCCTTCTAACCGATTAGCTGGGACTCGGGAGGCAGCAATAGATTGGGGGTGGGGCCAAATAAAAGGTAAGAATAATGCAGGCGGGGGGGCGGGGGGACGGGGGGCCGAGGTCCCAAACAAAGAGAGCCGGTTCGGTGACGTCATATCGTCACCGCTACCGACTCAGCCAACCGGGCCAAACCGTGAGAAACCCACTACTGATCCCACCTCATTCCCCACACAGGTTGCTCCCCCCTTTCCCATCTTTTTGGCATATTTTATAATTTTGCTGCTATTTGATATATAGCAATATGCAGGTATGTGTGTGTGCGCACACACAGACACATTCATACACACAAACATAGTTTTACAGCTTTTAACCTTGTAACCCAGGGTCACCTTGTGGTGAGATGGGACACAAATAAATTTAACAAACAAACAAACAAACAAACAAACATGGGTGCACAACATTGCTTACCCCCTTGCTTGCTGAGAAGCATGATGTAGCCCCCTGTGGAGCCTATTGCAATAACCAAGAGAGGACATAACTGAGTCATGGATGACCGCTCTCAAATGCAACCAGCTCAGGAAGTGATGCAACTGCTACACTGGTGCAACTGTGTGAAATTGTTTGTTCCTGCAACCTCTACATGACCTGGTGATCCAGGGAATCCAGGTGAGATTGAAGGAACATATATCCAAGTTGCAGGCCTGCTCTTTCAGTTCCCCAGATCCAGTTTCACTAGTTGGCTAAGATTTCAGGTTTTTTGTTTTTTGTTTTTAATTTGATTTATATGCCGCCCTTCTCTGGAGACTCAGGGCGGCTTACAATGCGTTAAGCAATAGCCTTCATACTTTTGTATATTTATACAAAGTCAGTTTATTGCCCCCACAAACTGGGTCCTCAATTTACCTACCTTAGAAAGGATGGAAGGCTGAGTCAACCTTGAGCCTGGCGAGATTCGATCTTACTTTAATTGCAGATAGCTGGTGTTAAATTACAGTGCTTCTGTCTGTTCAGCTAAACCAGGTTTGCCTTCATCCAACCCATTACTGACTTCAACAGGGGTGGGATTAAAAAAAATTAGCAACCAGTTCTCTGCCTGGTTGCTGGGTGGGCGTGGCCTACCCCAGGCTCCGGAGTTCCTCTGAATGCCAGAAACGGGCCCATTTTTGGATTTCCAGAACTTGCGGGAGGCCCGTTTTTTGCCCTCCCCAGGCTCCAGAGGCTTTCTTCGAATGTCCGGGAGGGTGAAAACAGCCTCCCTCGGGCTCCGAAGGCCCTCAGGAGGCCGGAAATGGGCCCATTTGCAGACTTCCGGAACTTCCGAGAGGCCTGTATTTTTGCCCTCCCAGAGCCTCTGCGTGGGTGCTGCACTTACCTGGCATCCAAAACAGGCCGCGTGGAGACTCCTGGAAGTGGTCGGGTGGGGTGAGAAGGTCCAGCCAGTCCTTGCAACTACCAGTTTGGCGAACCAGATGTAAAATTAGCATCCGGTTCATCTGAATCAGTCCGAACTGGCTGAATCCCACCCCTGGACTTCAGGCAATGTTCAGGGATGCTTCCTCTGAGTAGTACATAAGGAGCAATAGCTGAGATGGCGCAGATAAAAACTGCTTCCCAGGACATTTTTAGCTTAAGAAGCATTGCACTGACCGCTTGGAACTCAGTAATGTCTTCTCTTCCCTTCTTCTTATTTTTTTTTATAGAAAATTGGAAAAGTCACTTAATATAAAATATCTTCACAGAACAGAAGATATGTCTGGAAGCCTTCAGTCTATCTGAGATAAATCTCTGCAGTGGCAAACAGCTAGTTTTGCCAGAGGCCATTATCCCAGCTTTAAATACATCTGTGTCTTCTATGTCTTCTGACATAAAGGAAGACATCTATATTTTTATCCCCAGTCTAATATTAGATGATACCGAGGGCAAAATCACATCATGAATTGGATGTCCTTGTCTCTCCTAAGGAGGTTTTACCGTTTAAAATAACATTGGAGCTTGGGAGTCTCTGGATTTGATTCATGCAACTGAATTTTCTCCCTGCATGAATTCCTTCAAGCTCACCAAAAACCAGGTTTTGGGGGAAAACATTAGGATTTGTAAGCTTCCTTTCAGCCAGACCTGGGTGCCCTGAGCAGGTATATGGGTTTCTTAGGCAGCTCCAAAGATTTCTTTTTAGCCATGAGACCTTAAGGTAGTCCTTGAATTACGACCACAATTGAGCTCTCAACATTTCTGTTGCTAAGCAAGATAGTTGTTATGGGAGTTTTTGCCCCATTTTACCACCATTCTTGCCACGGTTCTTAAGTGAATCATTGCAGGGGTTAAGTTAGTAACAGGGTTGTTAAGTGAATCTGGCTAACCCTTTGACTTTGCTC